AGTGATGACATCATCAGTAAATTAGCCAATAGTCGTGCTGTAGCAGACACACCTCCAAAGTAGGGGTTTTAGTGCAGACTGCTATGCACATGCAATTACTGTATATGGAATGTGTGTAGAAACTGCATTTGGTACATTATAGAATGTGTTGGCTCTCATGTATCTGTATTCTCTAATATTCATCATTTTTATTAGTTCAAGCTCTGAAGATAGAAATCAAGAAGCAGTGTTTAGTGGACTCTATAGTTATCATATCCCAACCAATACATGGAAAAAAATTCGAGATGATGCACCCAATGGAAATAATTCACAAGATATTAAATCAAGAATTGGACATTCAATGCTCTTTCATTCTGTAAGTTCACAAGTATATTTTCTACTGGTCATTCAGTGATATTCTGTGAGTTCACAAGTATATTTTCTACTGGTCATTCAGTGATATTCTGTGAGTTCACAAGTATATTTTCTACTGGTCATTCGATGCTCTTTCATTCTGTAAGTTCACAAGTATATTTTCTACTGGTCATTTAATGCTATCTCATTCTTAGAGTACATGTACTGGTAATTTACTTTTCATTTTGGGATTTACAAACACAAACTAGTATGCTAAACAGTTTTATCATTGCAGTAGTTTTTTTTTTTATTTGCAGGGAAACCAGAAACTGTACATATTTGCTGGCCAGCGATCCAAGGAATATTTAAATGATTTTTTTACTTACAATGTCGACACTGATGAAGTGGAAATTATATCGGATGGGCAGAAAAAAGATGGATCACAGGGTATGTTGTTCTATATGCTGTAATTGTGGGTATTAACAGTATTGATTTGCATTATGATCTCTAAATTTGGTCTTTATTGATTAATAGAAGTGTTCAGACATTATTACTGGTACTGCTGTAGTGCAATCCATGCATAATCTCAGACATAATGATAATATTGTTTTTGTTGCTTGTTCTACTTCTCATTAACACATTGCTTGCTGACATCTTTATTTTCATTGATTTTGGTATGTCTGTGTGTCTGATTTCAACAGGCAATGTGTTACTATATTAAATCAGCTGTATTTTATTGTTGTAGTGCCTGCTGCTGGTTTCACACAGAGGGCAACCATAGATGCTGAACTCAATGAAATACATGTTCTTTCTGTGAGTATTGTTATTAATAATAGTCAAACAAATGACTGTTTTTAAAATTAATGTACATGGAAGAAAATACCATCCTCCCTCAGTATCTTCATGAACAAACTAAACTTTATATATTGACAGGGGTTAAGTAAAGACAAAGAAAAACGAGAAGAAAATGTAAGGAATTCATTTTGGGTATATGATATTCCACGGAATAAATGGTAATGTAACTTTCTGTATTCTTGTCATAAAAAGTTTATGTATATGTATTGCAGGGATTGCTTTTAGTGGGGTTTCTTGGCATTATACAATGATGAGAGTAATCTTATAAAAACAGGAACTGTATTTCTTGATTTGATTTGTCTGACAACATTGTAGCTACACATCTATTATTTGAATGTGTCATCATTTATTTTGCTCACATGTTTTGGTCAATCTTAAATTAATTTTATATGAAGATTGCACATAGTAGTTAGAGGTTATCTGCTGTTTTCAGTGCACGATTTCATTTAAAATGGCGAACTGGTGGCCATTTTGTTTTGTTTTTCATGTAATTTGATTGTGTTACTGACACACATCATTTGGTTTTGCAGTTGATAATTTTACATATCACGACATAACTAAATGTACATGTTCTGTTTTTGAGGCTAATGACCTTCTACATACATACATACATACATGTTTTCATTTTGTAGGTCATGTGTGTATAAAAATGAAAATAATAGCCAGAGATATTGGAATAAGATGCAGCACGTAGAACCTTGTCCTAGATTTGCCCACCAATTAGTCTATGACCATGCACGCAAAGTACATTATTTATTTGGTGGGAATCCTGGCAAATCAAACCTACCTAAAATGAGACTTGACGACTTCTGGTCATTAAAGGTATGTACTCTTAGTGTATTTTATTGATATGGGAATTACATGAACTGACATTACACACCATTCATACCTGCTATCTGTGGAGTCTTTCAGCTGGCAATGTTTTAACAGTGTGACCCACCCATATACTGTGAAAATGAATATATTCATTCACCAGTATTTTATTTCTCCATTTTCATATTTGATCATATCCAAAGATATTCCAGTGAAACAATGAGTTATAATTTATTCAATTTAGTTGTAAAATTAAAACCCAATGAATAATTACATGTATGAAGTTTATAAAATGTTTGTATGTGAATGTCCATGTACGCCAAAAACAATGACAATTAATACTCTAGACCCATAATGATGATGTTGAATGTTTTGTTTTACTTTTAGCTATGTAGGCCATCCAAAGATCAACTACTTAGGAGATGTACGTACCTATACGCAAGACAAAATTTCAAGAGATAGCTTCTAAGAACCCAGTAGAAGCATTAAACTTTTTACAGAAAGATTTAGCTGCCACTGTTGATCACAAAGATCCTGATGAAACTAAAGAGGTGAGCCATAGTTAACTATTACTTTCTTCACTCTTTCCTGACGTCTAAAATAGTCTATTTAAGTTTTTATTCAAGAGCGTGTTTATTCTTATTCGTTTTGACAATGAGCTGTTATCACTGTAAACAATGTTAAATTATTTTTCTAATGCTCAGTTTATCTTTTGAAAAACAACTATTTTTTGATTTGAAAAAAAAATCATGCTGTTTTTCAATCAAAATCCAAGCCAAAAGATTGTACTACAACATCGGCAAATCTCTTTCCCGTTGCATTCAATAACATTAACATATTTAAATGATCTATGGTAATTTGAACACTTGGCATCATCCAGCATTTTGATTGGTTAATTAGTGATTTGACTCATGCAAAAGAAAGAACATGGCTGATACCAGACATTTGTTACGATGAAACCAAGTTGGATTTAATTTGCAATTCATAACAATTCAACGATTTATTTTTTTGTTTGTTATTACAATCACTACTGAGTAATAATCAACAATTCTGAAACTGAGCATGACCAGATTGCACAACCGTGATTATTTGCTGCTATGCAATGCAGTTGTGTTTAGAATATATTTTTGTTACCCCAAAACATGCAGACCAATATTCATGTGAAACGCAGGGTTGAATGCTGTTCCACTTAGTAAAGGCACCCAAGAGTGATTAGTGACCCTTAGGTGTAACAGCCGATCCTCAAGTTAATTTGGACGATGCTAGTCGATAAAGACACTCTAGTATTGTACACACAACGATTTGTTTGTGAATAAATTAGCATAAATTATCGCTCGTGAGAAGTTTTGACTTTTATTCATTTATATGCCATCCCCCCCCCTAATTTTTCATCAATTTGCCGGTTTTCCGGAGGGGTTTATACTCTGACAACTACAATAATGTTGAATCAAATCCTGGTCATACATTATATGCGTGGATTTTGTTCAAACTTGTTTCTCACATTGGATGTTATGGAACTTTGATACATGCCATTTTATGTTTAAACAACTAGCTGACTGTTGACCATTTTTATTTTAATGAATGCCCTTCTCTGACATGTCATTATGTTCATGTTGTAGTTTAACCAATGAGTACTATTCTAATGCAATTACTTGTTTTCTTCTGATTGTTAAATTTTGTTTACCGGGTATTAGCAAACTAATGACATGTTTTGAGGCATAAGTATGATTCCTTTTGTAATTTATTAAGCAGGCAAACACTGGTAATTTTTTTTTCAGTTTTTGTACAGGATTGAAACAAATGAAGACTTGGTCAGTAGTCCTGATTGTTCTACAATCAAATTTTAATATATTCTCATTTCTTTACAGTTTCAGTTACTTGCATCAACATTATTTTCGCAAACAATTGAATTACCTGATCATCTAAGTACTGTTGAAAACACAGAAGGATATGAACATTACACTACTAGAACTTTGGTAAGTTGAGATTCATCTCACTTAAAACCTGCTGAATCCTAATTTGTGCTATTTTTTATTAAAATGAAGGTATCTCAACTGCACAGACGTTTGTAACTTATTATTATCCTTACATGTTGTCTTTTACAAACTACAGTATCATTTGAATGTAAATTTAGGCGTAGGCACTTCTGTGAATCACCTCTTATGGGTAGACATTGTTTAATTTGACTAACTTTAGGAATCATATATTTCTTATTAAATCTTTTCTTTTAGCTCTTTGACACATTGGTGAGCTATTTTCCTGAAGACATGGCACAGCCAAAAGGGAATCTAGTAGACCTCATAACCTTTTGAGCTACATATTATATTAATAATGTATTTAATAATGTGCCTAATGAAAGCATACCACCTTGGGTGTTGCACTGCTTCAACGTCAGATCTATTGTAAGGGACAGCCATCTTGGAATGGGACAGCCATATTGGAATGGGACTGCGATCTTGGAAATAGGACAACCTGCTGGAATAGGAAACCACCTTAGTGTAGGATAACCATTTTCGAATGGGACATCTATTGTGAAATAATGATGCTGCACATTGGTATCTGTAGTCTTGAACTATCTAAAATTGGCAACCATCTTGGAATGATAACTTTTAATCTGTGTAATATCAGTACAGATGTATTTCTGAAAAAATTCATTGCTTCTCCTCTGACCTCCATACCATCATTATCAGGTTCAAATATGGCTGTACTTTTTCTAAAAATGATTACCAGTTCTAAAAGTAGCATGGGCTTCAAATGGAACTTGACATGACACAATTCCTAGCCTAAGTATGCTCAAGAGTACATACTGTGGAATACTTTATTTTCGCTGGAATT